ACTGTATAATTCAGAGAAGACTCTGAGGATTTTTTCTGCTTCCATTTTCTTTTCGGTTCTCATTTACATTCTCATTTCTCATTTGCATTCACCTTTCTCACCTGCCTTGCTCCAAGCTAGATCTAAAATTAAAAGGGAGCCAGGAAAACAGGCAGGAAAAACAGACCAAATTCAAATTAAAGGATCTGTTATTTTGAAATATTTTTAACTCTTTGGTCACACTCTTTTTCCCTCTCCCTCTTTTTTGCCTATATCCCCTTTTTTCATATCTTGAACAAAGACCTGTAGAGTTAGAGCTTTAAATGAGGAACCCAGTATTTGCAGTGGAGGACCAAAATGTGATGCATTGTGACAATAGAAAATACATAAGTCAATAAAAGCATGCCTTTAATACCCAGAGATGGCTATTGAAGGCCAGTACACTTAGAGCAGAATTACTGGGTATTTTTAGGAGACTATTTCTTGCATAGTTCTAAAGCTTCAGACTCTCTGTTCTGTACCTGCTCACTATTCCTCTCCAAGAACACCTTGAAGGACTGAAATTCTCTATGTCTTTGGTCACCAGTTTTGCACCTTCAATTGGTTACCCCCGGACAGATGTCAGAACATCAGCAGGTTCTACCCCTCCTCTCAAAACTATGGAGAATTTTTGTTTTGACTTCTGCATCTTCTTTTTTCTGCCAGAATATTTATTTCTATGTGGTATAAAGTACAAACAATAAGGTTGGGAAATACATACTGCAAACAATTCCTTCTATCTTTATTCACAGTGATCTTCAACTATATATGATCTTCTTAAAAGCACAATGTCATAAACATCTGGCATAAGTTTCATGGATATTAGCACACAAGCTGTATAACAAATTAAGAATGTACTATGCATGCCTTCCATTGGTTTACTCTCCAAATGTCTAAAATTGCTAGAGTTGTTCAGGCCGAGGCTAGGAGTTGGAAGCTTCCAGGTCTCTCACATGGGTTGCAGGGGCCCAAGCATCTGGGCCATCCTCCAGGGATTTCTCAGCTGCATTAGCAGGAAGCTGAATTGGAAGTGGAGAAGCTGGGATTAAAAGCAGCATCCTTATGGGATGCAGGCATTGTAGGAGGTGGCTTAACCTGTTACTTGCCTCATAAGATAGTCATAAGGATTAACTTGGATCATATGGATTAATTTGTGTAAACTGTAATATGTAACATTACAATCACTCTTACATTAATACTATCAGTGGAGAGTTACAAAACTTTGATCTTGGTCCTGTTTTGGTCAATATTTTGTTAAAGACAGGGATGATGACAGGAAATGTCCTGATCTGACCTGCTACAAGTAGGTATGAGGTAGTATGTTTGGTGGTTCTTGAAGCCTCAGCAAAATGAATGAATGGCAGGCTTAGGACAGTCATAATGGTTTTGGCAGACTGGACTACTGGACAAAACAGTGAGAAAAAATTAGCAAGAATAGATTTATGTCTTTCCTTGGCTTAAAAACGAAATCCCACAAGGACCGGATGAGCCAGCAATTGCCATGGAAGAGGAAGTGAAAGATTTGGTTGCAATCAGCCCAATGTGACATGTGATACCACTGCAGAAAAAGACAACAAAATCATGAGAGGTGTCTACAGAAATAGTCCATAGTACTGGGCTAATTCCCATCTGCTCTTGTTTCCTTATTTCTGGATAGGATGAATGGAGGATAAATGAGATTATGAGGTTTCTAGTAAGTGACACGTGGTTAGAGTGGCTGGAATCACTTGCAAGAGAGAATAAACAATAGTGGTAATTACAGTCACCACCACTATAGTAACTGCCAGTATGAGCTTGAACTTACATGTCTGATACTGTTCTAAGTCTCTTACCTTTTTTACTTCATCTCCTCCTCTCAACAGGAGAGCCAGGTATCATTCTTATTTTCATTTTCTTCATTTTGCACATGAAACAACAGAATACATGACCTAATGAATGTTATATGGCTGGGAAGTGATGGAGCAGGTATTTGAACTCAGGAATTCCTATTTAAAACAAACACTTGTAGCCAACACATTCTTCTTTTTTAAGAATTGAAAATAGTATCATCTAGAATAAATTTTTGAAAGACAGTTCTTGAAAGGACAAGGAGGGCTCATCCCCTTGCTGTGTGTTTCTAGTCAGTACTAGTCTAGGAAGCCTAGAATTCTGGAAGGGTGATTCAAGTCCAAAATCAGGAATTAGAGTCAAACAGCAATAATGGGTTTGCATGCATTGCATAGCTTATTTCTCCATCTACTTGCCAAGAGCAGGGGTTGAATGGTCACCATTTAGGGTTTCATCAAATGTTGCCATTAGGTTGCCATAGGTAACCACAATGATTTCTTCAATATATTAAAATTTCACTGGATTTGGTGAAACATATTAATTAAGACGCATGACTTCAAGTAGCAGGAACCCGAAATAGCTGCAGCTAAAGTGTAGGGGCTGTCTTGGAAGAGCAAGGAGGCAGCTGGTTTCAACTATAACAGAACCAAGAAAGTGACACGTGTAGGCCTGTCTCCACAATTCTTGCCTTCAGGTGTCACTTTCTGGAGTTTATCCTATCCTAAACAAACCTTCATTATGTATCAGGAAACAACAGCCATTAGCCAGATCCTTTTGTTTTTTTCTTTCTCATTTAATACTTTCTGTCACTAGAGATAGACTGCCTCTTTGGCATGAAAGCAAAACAAAATAAAACAAAAATAAATCCTCACAGGCAAGGGCACAGATTGACCTAGTTTGAGTCTGCAACCCCACACCATCATTCACTAGCAGAGGAATGGGATTCTTCAGAAAGTGGCAGTTCTCATGGGATCTATAAGGATAGATCCAGAAACAGAAAGCATTGACACACAGGATCCCCTGACCCAAGGAAAAGACAAGAAACTGGCACACAGAAGCCTGGAGAATAATATTGGCTTTTTGATATAACCCTATGAGCATGAACTTGAGTGCTCAGAAATCTTCCGTGTTGAGGACAGTGATCTTTCTGTGAACATCAGGATTGGACACTCACAGTGAAGGCTAAATATTTGGCCCCTACAATATGTTCACCCTTTAGCTAAGTCTTCTTTTTTTGAAAACAGAACTGTAGACTCAGTTCCTATAGTCAGACCAAAACATTTAATTGGATCAAGAGCTGAGTAATGTTCTGAGAGCCATGTTAAATATAATTATATAGAAAATCAGCTCTTACCAGTTAGGTCATTTACAAAGCAATCTCACATCAAGTACAAGCAAACATACTTCTTGGTGATATTAGAAACAGCCCAAGGATGCAGAAATCTGTATTTACTTGTTCACTGTTCAAGCATTCACAAGCATTTTCTGTATGCTGACCATATTTATAGATGCTGTACGGTTTTAAAAAGTGGCAGAATCGTGCTTTCATTCCCTCAAATATCTTACTTTCCCTTCTCTCTGATTAGAATATTCTTTAGCCCCTCTGGGTTTCTGCTACCATGCTTCATTGTGTTTTGTATCAACCTTTGATGTGTTGACAAGTTTAAAACACTGGGCTGTATCCTCTTTTACATCCTTGGGGCTTCACATTAACAGGGGGTTCACACTTGTCATCTTTCACTTAATGTGTCATTAATAGAAGGAAAGCCCCATTAAGACAGAGCCATGTTTGCTTTGCTCACTATGCCTGCTGGAGTAGTGTTTCAGAAATAAGAGAAGAAGCATTCATTGGACAGATAATTATTGAGCACATATGTGGTAAGCATTGTTATTGGTACTTAGGATACAGAAGATGAAAAATAATAGATAGGATTCCTGCCCTAAAGAAGCTTACCTGTGAGTGAAGTGCTAATTGAACGATATTAGAGTATAATTTTATTGAATGATATATAGCTCAAACCTCTAATTTCCCAGGTGAGGAAATGAATCCCGGAAAAACTGAACGATCTAAATCAAACTACATAGAAAATTTGAGTGGCATACTTTTAGATTGGTTCATTCACTCAAAAACTTTTCTCCTATACACTACTCATTTTATCAACCAAAGGTGGGAGTGTGAACTTATTTATTCAGTGAATGAATACGAGTAGGACATTGATGGAGGGTATCCCAAGGTGAGTAGAGACAAACGCAGACAGCACTTAATTTTTATGTGTACAGAATAGTAAATGTTTAGTCTGTAATAGACACACAGCATTGGCAATTTCTTGCCCAGTGCCTTTACGTGACAGATCGTCATGCTCCTTATTGTTGCTTTTGAAACTTCTGACACCTGAAGTCCCTGGTGTAGTGGAGAGTTCGCATCAACATTTTAGGGTATGATCAGAAATTGCTACTAGTGCTCACTTCTAAGCTCAGAGTTGCAAGAAGGGGTCACAGAGACTATTTTGGAGAAACGAGAAGACTGTTTCAAAAGAGGACAGATGAGAAAAGCAATGGGATATTTTTAAACCATGGGAGTATATGTATGGCCAAGACAGCTCATTAAACTATGAGGGAGTGAATTCTGAATAATAAAAAATATGGTTGGGGACCTGGGATGAAACTAAGTCCTTGCAGAAACGATTGTTTTAAAGACTGGTGTAAACTAGGATTAGACCTCAGTTGGACAGCTAAATCAATGTGAGGTCGAAGTGGCCCTTCAATTTGGAGCCTAGGAAGGGCACCATGGGATGGAAATTGTTTGAGGGTCTCCTTCGATTTGGGAAACACCCTGCAAGGACCTGGAGAAGCTCCTCCCCCACTGACACTCCCTCAACAGCAGCCAGTCCACGGACAGCTGGTTGTATGGCAGGTTACCACACATGCCTCATTCCGCATTGCTCAGCTGACAGAAACACAGAAGCATAAACCCATGGCCACCTCCACCATGATCGCTTAGGCCAGAGCTGAGCTGGTACTTGAATCCCCTGGGACTTCTGGCTATCATGGCCAGGATTAACACAGAAATTCCACTCATTTCGCTCAGAATATGTGAACTGCTGAGTCCTTTCACCAGAGAGTACCTCAATCCAATAATAATCTTAAAAACAAAACAAAAAATCTAGCATCTTTCAATGATGTGAGCAGAGAGCTTCAGGGACCTCAAAGCAATGCTCTCCTGAGGAATTTTGGCTAAAACCATAGCCTATGCAGAGTTAGGAAAGGATGATCTTGTAGTCTTTCAACGACAAATGAGGTCAAGGATAAGCTGTGGCAGGGGAGAAGTCAGAGAAAGCACTTCACACAGCGTCTGTAAAGAAAATGTTTTATTTAAAGTGTTAATACCATCACCAGAATGAATTTGATTTACATTAGTTGGTGTGTTGGTTACAGGACTAATCCTCCCTCTTTCCCCCCCCAACTGAAATTCCCTTTACTTTGAAAACATACTATGTACAGGGCAGCAATGGTCACTGGCATGGTGCTATTTACATGACTAAATCATAGTTGAGGTGCAGACATGTGAAAATTCAAAAAGACAAACAAAAAAACACAAAATACACCAACTTTTAAATAAATACTGCATAATGACAAGTATGTACAAATATTCCACACAGTTATGTCCTTCTTATTAAAATTAGAAATAATTTGTATAGGAATATGCACAAAAGATAATGTGACTGCATCTTACTATCGGGAGAATGGATGACCTTTATTCTAAGGGGGTAGTGTAGACATTACAGGCCTATTTAAATCAATTGCTGCTGGTACACAGGTGTCTAAATTACTTCGATACAGTTTTCTCCTTTCTTTTAATAATTTTACCTGGGTCCATCGCATATCACAAAACATCAAGACACAGGCTCGGTGTATTTCATATTGCACCACGTAAAGAGAAGGCATTTTTAGTGATACTCATTTTTAACTTTTGCACCATATCAAGCATAACAACTTTTAATGGTCAGCACTGAATCAAAAAAATAAAAGCAAAGAAGACAAATTTTGTGCATGGCCTTAATCAAAAGAAACGGAATGTATGTGGATTTCAAAAATTATTACAAGGAACTTAATTCATAACAATGTATGAATAATTAAAGTATGCATTAACAACAAGAAAATATGGGTGGCTTATTACATTAACCAGTGACTCTTCCTCCAAATAGGGGAACTGGGAAGAAAGTTGACCTTGCAGCACCACCCAATGTCTGTGAAAGCAAAGGCAGGGGTTGTGACTTAAGGGATTTTTCTCGGAGACTTTTGGTGATGGCATCAAGGAACTATCAATAGGCATACTGACTTTTTTGTGTCACCTAAAAATTGGAGCTTTAAAATTGTTGCAAATTTATGCTTACTATATTTCTTTAGAAATATAATTTGTGAAAAATTGAATTTTTACTACAGAAAAATGAATTAATAAACAGCCCTGTGTTTGGGGGCTCCAAATTTTCAGCATTGTTTCTATTCACATAGGAAATGGAAACTGGCTAAAGAAATTGCTTTAACTGATTAAAAAACAAACAAAACCTACGACCTTCTATAAATAATACTTTAACCCCTGTATGAATAATGCTGGTGCTAAAAATAAACTCATTAGACATCACAATGGCCACATGATTTTAGGAATTTCCTGTAAACAGAATTTTGAAGGTGAAAAAAAATTACCATGCACTGTACAATTGCAAAAGTTCGAATATCTTCTTTGTCGAATACATGCTGACTTACTTTAATGTACTCCCAAGTCATGTTGCAAAATCCTTTTCAACATGCTTGAAATAAAGAAAGCTCTTAAAGAGTTGTTTTTCCTTGAGAAATTTATAAATTCAGAAGCACTGATAGTTCTGAATGAAACATGGGGTGTAAGAGAGGATCAGATGAAAACTTAGTAAGCTTTTAGCATATGGTTCATTCTGGTAAGTAGAAAGAAAAGAGTAAAAGAGGGGACAATAGGAAAAGTGAGACAGAGAAGACGAAAGAAGATGTGAAAAATTTGCACATATTGAACTTCATAAGATTTGTATATTTAACATGGAAATAAATTGAGTATATTATACTTATTTGTCACAGAAACAGAATTTTCAGTATTTTTTAGAAAGTACTTTCGTTTGTAATGTCTGCCAAAACACAGACTGCGTAGTTTAAAGAATAAACATGGTCTGTCTTTGTATCACCCTGTTGCATTCTCTCCCCCTTTAAAACCATGCACTAGTGAAATTTATTTTTAAAAATAATATAAATTGTTGAAAATGGCTGATTTTTATTCTTGTTTTGCAAGTTGCAGCCCCAAGAAAATAATTTATGTATTCAGCTAATCTGTGTCCATGCAAAAAGAGTTTCTTTAATTTCATTCAGTCCAGTGTTGCCACAGATCTTGTTTCCAGAGTCCAATGTGTCTTGGCATTGGTGAAGGAGGTGTCCACTGGAGCTGCCCAGTCGGTCTCTCTCTCCCTTCTGGACTGACCACCCTGCTTCATCATCCAGAGAGGGGCTTGTGCCCTGCTCCTGACCAGTTCTTTGGTCTTAGGCTTTTCACCTGATGCTTCCTAGAACTTGTCTCCTTGATCTGTAACATGGCTTAATGGTTATACAACTCCATGTCTGTGGCGTAACAGGGCTTTGGGGTCAGATAAATGAAGAAAAAGGTAAGATAAAAATATAAAGGTGCCATTGAAAAGGGCTTTTGTTGCATGAAACTGACTGATTCTTTGAGATTAATCCATGGCTTCAGATTGGACCAAAAATGAGTGTCACTGAACTCCACAGCTGATAGTTCTTCACCTGAGGGCCTTCGTTAGGGCACAATGTGTGCGACTTCCTCTGAGAACACAGGATCGCTTCGTATCCCTAGAAACAGGCTCAGAAGACACAATATTAAGCATGCAGTGTTACCAGGGTTGGCGACCTGTGAAATTTTTTTTTTTTTTTTGGAACGCTGGTTGCTGTGACAACAGTTTTACAGCTGCTATGAGCGAGAGTAGGAAGGTCCAGTTGAACTTTCCAGAGATGATTGGGAGGCTCTTCTTGTCAGAGGGGCCAATGTTGGATCTACTAGAGAGGAAGGTGGAAAAAGTTTAAACCATCCAATCACCATGTTGGATAGTTCCAGTTCATCTAAAAGTATCTGAGCCACTCCCATGAAGGATTTGTGATCCATGCGACCATAATCTCCCCAGACAATAATCTGTTGGCAAAATTACAAAGAGTAATGTCAGCATAACCATGTACATAACAGAAGTTTTATAAAATACACTAAAATAGTAACATGCATTCAGTTAATGTTCCAACATCAAAGACCAAAAGCACTCGCATTGGATGACTGGGATAGCTGTCTTCAACTTCCAGAATCTACAAGTACATCAAGAGACCTTACAGTCTTACAGTGTCAAGATCATAAGCAGTCCACGTAGGCTGGTGTGATGGGCCTTGGCAAGTCACTTTAAAGGGAATGACAATGGGCATAGCTTTATAGTACTGGTCACTGCCTTGAGTTTTCAAAGAATTTTAATGGTGAGAAACAGAAAAGAATGGAATCAAAAGATCCTGGGTCTAAGATCTGACTCCATGAAATAATGGTAACGGATAAACAGTTAAACAAATACCTGTAAAACTTTTCCTTGGGGACTCTCTTCAAAAGATAACAGCTGCTGATAAAGAGGTTCCAGCGTTTTTCTTGCCACTTTTGTTTTCTTTTTGGCTATGCAGACTCCATTATCTAAGAGATACACCTTTACGTATGGTGCTTAGGAAAGAACATATAAAGAAGACCAAGTGAGGACTGTGGCTGTCGCATGCCTACCCACTCACGGTTGTCGGCTGTAATAGCTCAATCTTTGCTTGAAAAGTCACTGGCCTTCTCACGTTATTTAAAAAATGATTAGATAAACAAAGGATAATTTCCAAGAGTGTTTTAGGTGATGTTGTCACAGCTTGAGTTTATTATTATTTTGCTATGAGCTAGTTATATAAATTTACAGATTACATTACATAATAAGAAATGCTTCCAGCTCCTAACAGTATTCAAGAGAAATGCCTTACTCATTTATTTAAAATTATTGACATATGAATCTAAATAAACATCCCCACACTTACTCACTTATCACTCAAAAGCATTTATTTATTGGTGGCGGGTATGAAACAGTGATGAAATTTTAGCTGTCATCTTCCAAGCAACTGGGAAGAAGCAGCTGATTATGAATTGTACTGTTTCAAATTTATCTGGGAAACACTCAATAGAAGCAATTTTCCTGGAATTTGCACTCATGCAGTTCTTTATAGCACAAAGAGCGAACTAGCTCCAAGACTTCTACCAACTCAATTCTCTTAAAAAGGCTGTACAACCAGAAGCACAGAGTAATAAATGATATAATAGAATGACTGCAAGGATAGATAAGTTAAGAGGTTCAAAATTACAAGTCAGTCGGTGGAGATGCTGAAGCTGAGAACCAAATTCAGAATCCTCCTGAACTACTGCTTTTATGCATCTGCTCAGACAACTTCTGCACAATCACTTGGAGTCATGGTGGCATTTCCATGGCTTCAGGGACCTCAGCTTATAATGACATTTCAGTATGAAATATGAGGCATAAAAATTTATGACAGTGCCTATCTTGCTTTATCTATTACAGGAAGTAAGTCTTACCACTAAAATATCCAGGAGGCAATAGGCTTGTGGGGAGGGTGTACCTATTTTTATTCTAGTCACAGAACACTAAAGAATCCTCAGCAGAAATTTTGCAGCTCTAGATAAACTCAAGAATAATACAAAACTCCAATTCACATGAGAAAAAAAAAAACTTTTAAAGTACATGTTGTGCTGAGACAAATCATCCAAATGTGGCAGTATTGATTTGAAAGCACTTTCTATCATGTACGTATATGGAAAACAGTTGACTGACATTGTCCCCAACAGCTCACTCTGGAGATGCCTACTTAAGACAAACACAGTCTACAAGAGCTTCAAATCAGTCAGATAACTCACCCATCTGAGTATCCTTCATTGACTCAAAAACAAACTTTTCAGCATTTAAACAGTCTCTAAATGAAAACATATGAACTATGATGGTTTATGGATAACAACAGAAAATGTCTTCTGTTTTTACCTGGCAGTGTCTTGGAACCTGGTTTTACAACAAGGCCACGGGCCCGAATGATTTCCACCTCCAACTGTCCCTTTTTGTCCATCATGCCTACCTGAATGTCACCTAGTAGTACATGGAAAGGAAACAAACATGTCTTAATATATAAACACTGCAAAAAAAAATGCTCATGGTTTCACACCATGAGCTCATGGTTTCACACCATGAGCAAAAAATCATGGTTTCACACCATTTCAGACATATTTAAGATCCTAGCAATGATGTCTTCTTTTGAAAAAGCAGCAGAAATGGTAATAGAAAAATAAATCTTTTCACTGTTAAAAAATCAATGATACTTTATTCTTGCTGCTCATATGGTTAGCAAGTCTATGAAATGCAGAGAACATAATTTTTAATGATATAAAAAGAAAGCCATGAAATCATGTGACCAACATTCTTACCCATTGCAGGTGTAGCCAGGGTCTGGCGTCCCACCAGCTGAGCAGGCCCAAGGCCATCCAGGAAATCACTGAATTGGCTGTCGGAGGCCAAGCGGACACCAGGGAAAATCAGACTGAAAGCAAAATAACACCTGGGCTTAAACCTTTGAAACCTACTTATCCCACACCAGCTCAAGTTTCCCTCTAGCTTTCTTATGATGGCAAGATAGGTGGTATCACCATTCGGCATTTAAACTTATTGATTCACAACATCCTCTCTGCTTTCCTTGGTTCTTCCTCCAGACTCCTTAGCAGCCCCATGAAGCACCAGAAGCACCTGCCACACTGTCCTAAAAGCTTCTTGTCTCCCCCTTCTTAGGTCTGGAGGACAGGGACTGTGATTTACATGAAAAACCACCCAGTATATATTTGTGCTGAGCATGTATTCCATGCCAGGGTTTGCCTTAGTGAATCCTCTTAGTTGAGCTATGAGATAGCTTCTGTTATTTATCATATTTTATGAACTAAAAACTCCTCCAGATCATTCCCATGAGTGTCTAAAAACGCTGCTATTTCTGATACCTGATCCTTCTCCTTCCCAAAACTACCACCGTCCTGACCCTACTTCCCTGTTTCCAGCTAGCATCCCTTTTCTCTCCTTGAAACGGCTGCTCTGAGTGCTGTAGCCACTTTCTTTCATCTTGAAACTCTAGTTATTTTTGATTTTCCCCACTACACAAAAACTTTACTGTTGTGACCATTAGGCCAGACTTAGCTAACGACCATGGTAGAGAACCCAACTACTATCAATATTCATCTACCTTGCCGTATTAGCAGCACTGGCCATGTTGATCCCTTCCTCTTACATCATCTGCATTTTACTTCTTGGATTCCTTAACCCCATAAGTTTCCTCTCTTTTTCTTCTGCCACTCTTCCTTAGTCTCTTTGCAATTTCAACCGCTAGATACAGGAGCTCAATCCTATGATCTCTTATCTTTTATGTAGAAATTCCCTTGGTGATCTAACAGTCTCATGGTTTTAAAAAGACATCTCTCCTGCTATAACCTAGACTACTATCTCCTACTTGTCCTCTCCTTTGGGCCCGAGACCCATATTCCAATACATATCTGCTTGGAAGTCTCGCAGGCACTTGAAATTTAAGTTGTTTCAGCTAAACTGAATCCCCCTTCTTCAACAGACAAACCCTGGCCCTCTCAGGGGATTCCCACCTTAGTAAATCACAACTTCGTCCTTCCAGTTGTTGAACCTGACATTGATCTTTCCTCCTTCTTCTATGTTATAGACTGAGTTATGTTCTCCAAACATTCAAGCCCTAATGTCCAGTATGACTGTACTGAGAACAGAGATTTTAAAGAGTCAGGGCTGAGGTCATAACAGAGGGGCCCTATTTCAATGTGCCTGACGTCCTTAAAGGAAGAGGAGGCGACAGCAGCCTATCCAGAGGAACAGCCAAGACAAGACACAAAAAGGATATTATGAACAAGACAAGGGAGAGGTCTTGAGAGAAACCAAATCTACTAATACCTTGATCTTTCTAGCTACTGGATCTTTAAGAAAGTAAATTTCGGTTGTTTAAGTCACGTAGACTATTGTCTATGGCAACCCTATTATTACATAAGTGCAGTGCACAGATAGATCTTCATTTGCTCTACTGTCAAAATGTATGCAGTTTGATTTCACTAATGCCGCCATTCCGGTTCAAGCCACTTCTGTATTGTTGTAAGAGTCTCAGAGGCCCTGTTGCTGTCCTCACATTTGTCTCCACCTCAGTCAGACCGATCTACTACAGTGGAATCAGGTCGTGCCAGTCCTCAGTCCCAGAGGCCCAATGATTTCTCATCCCACTGAGAAAAAAATACGAAAAGCAAAGTCTTCATAACATGTTAAGACAACATCAACTGTCTAACCCCAGCCTCCACCCCTAATTCCTCGTTACTTTTTCCACTCTCTCTTACTTGCTGGTGCAGGCGGCTCCTGCCTTAGGGCCTGAGCTTTGCTTCAGCCTTGAATATTCTCCCCATAACATGTATTCACTCAGTCACTTTCTTCTTTACTCAGTCATTCAGATCTTTACTCAGTCATGTCCTTTGTCCTGTTTATCTACTTAAACCCTACCTCCAACCTCTACCATCTCTGTTCCTTGCCCCATTTTTTTCCTTTATACTTAGAATCTATAATCTACTGCATTTTTTGCTAACTTTCCTTGACAAAATATTTCAAAATTGCATTATTTTTTATTGTATGCTGAAAGTTTGATAAGGGTCAGGATTTCAGTCTATTCTGCTTATTGCCATATTTCTAGCTCCTAGAACCATGCTTGAAACATTGTAAGCACTTAATAAATCAATACTTGTTAAGCTCAGTTGATTAAGAGCAAACTCAGAAAAATCAAATAATGGTTCAATGTTCTATAGCACCAAACCAAACCAAACAACCAACCAACCAACAACAAAGCAATAAATCACCGGATAAGAATCTAGGTTTATATGATCATAAGGCTCATGGCCTTAACTACTGATACTGACTTCTTCATACAACTATGTCCTCAACTCTTGGTCAGATCATCAGAATACCAGAAGGAATGGTAATAAATTTTAGATTAGTATTCATCTCATTTCTCTCTAATAACTAGAAATCCCTGGAGTAAGGGTGATAGTTGAAACATTTTTATGTCTTTAACAATATCTTTCAAGCAAAGTGCTTGATAGCCATCTATTTTTTATTCAATTATCCAACTAATTTTCAACTTTTTTGATGAACTTTCTTGAGCAAATATATTTGTTTCCCCTCCTCAAATTTCAGTTAATAATAATATTTTAGTCTATTTTTATAAGTAACTCATATAACTTCTTTTATAAATGTATGCAAACCACCTATGTGCCTTATGTTATATAACTGTGCTAGAAACATAATCCTTAGGGCATGTCTTTACTACGGGGCTCATAGCTCCCTTAGTCTCCCATTACAGACTGGCTGCACACCTTCTGTCTTAAACACCTGCTGTTAGCTTGGAGATAACACAGTGAGTTCAGTAGATTGCACTTTCCTCTCTTAATCGCATTCACATAGGTGCAGTTGCAAATGAAAGTTGATTTGTTGGCGAAAGGGCTATAAAGTCTTTACAAACGCTTTAAAAATATTTCAGGAAGTTGACTGAAAAGAAGGTTCCACAATAACTAAAAAAGGAAAAAGAGGCTCACCAACTTGGTGGCATTTCATTTTGACTATTATATTTAACATAAGTAAATTAATATTAAATAATCATGTTATTGTATTAAATTAAGCTTATATCAGAATTCCACATCTTTAATAATAACTTACACCAAGCGACTGATTTTTTAAGTAGCATTGTTCACACGGTGAACCTTGTGTGCTTATTAATTCTGTGCTTTTATCTATTATTTAAAGTCAGGGCAAAATATTTTAATGTGCAAGGCATCTTGCCTTTAAAGCAAAAACACTTTACTCCCCAAATTTATTTTCCTGAATATAAAAAGCCAGACAAGTCACTTGTGCAGGGGAAGTTGAGCAACGTTCTCCTTCACAGGGAATTGGTCTGTGAAAAGTAAGACAGGACTGTGAAGCATGTGAGTTGTTTATGAAAACACAGTGAGATGAAGAAGATGGTCTCCGGCAAGGGTTGGAAGAGCTCCTCATAACGGGCTGGCCTCACTCACTTTCCTTCCGAGCTGTAGCTGTTCATGCTGCCATCTGTAGATTCTCGGCTGGCTTGTCGAGTCATCCAGTTCCTCATTTCCACTGCCAGACCTGTCTCCGTACTTCTCTGGACAGTGCTCCGTAATTTTTTACCACCTGCTTCTGCCAGGATAGAAGACAAAAGGTGTCACAACTTTGTCATCACTAGCTGGTAATGAAAAACATCACCCAATGCTTTGAGATCCTCAGATGAAAAGATCTGCATAAATAACAACGAAGAAAAAGTGTTTGAAATCTTAATGTCTTGGATGGAAAATTTCTAAAAAAAAAAAAAAAAGTTAAGCGCAAAATACCATTGTTTTATTTCCATTTAAAACAGTGTTCAAATTGAAATCGTTAACATAAGAAAAAAGGAAGATTCAACCTAAGGAAAGTAAAATTAACTTTTTCCATTGTAATATTTCAATGTCAGGTTAATTTATGCCTATTCTTTTATTTTCATTGAAATACTTAAATGCTAAATTATTTTACTTCTACTCCCCTACTCCTTTTCTTTTGTTACAGTAAAACAACAAGGCCTTTATATTATTTACAAAGAACAGATGGTTTGTAATCTTCCAGTTGTAGCCCTGGTTTTCAACACACAGAAAAATCTCCTTTTGCAACCCGACAGATGTTGGAAGGCAAAGAATGTTATACAAAGGAGATGACCTTGTTAGTTAACAATCTCACATTTGTTGGTGATTTTTAGAAACTCCTCTTAAGACTGTGCCAGAATCCAGCAATATCAAATGAAAATGATTTTAATTTGGGGTCATAGATAGTTGTATCTCAAGGGTGCTCCTACAGTCTGGAGAGGAGGTCAGTTATAACACAGGTCACACCAACAGGAAACTGAGTCAAGTGCTAGTAGCTTTTTTTTTATGATGTGGCAGAAGTGTTCTCTGGAGCAGTGGCTGAGCGAAGAGCTTCACGTCACTGAGGGAGATGATTTGAATGGGTTTTGAAAAATATGGGCGGACTAGGATTCAAGGAGACATGTGAATACAGTGTCTTGGCCCAGGAAAACACAGAATGGACCAAGGTGTGAAAGCAGGAATGACTGTGAGCTTTGAAGGCAGGTGCCATGACCAGAGAATATGGAGTGATGGCAAGAAACTCAAATTACAAGGGGCTTGCATGTTGGAATGTTGGGGTTGAATGACTACAAAAACTGGAACAGGTGGGTGACATTCCAAATTGTTTGGATTAATTTATTGCTTTTCAGACCTAACTATCCATATTGACTGCACCGCTTTTGGGATACAAACATATGGTAAGCTCTTTGAGTGTCTGGTATTAGAAAGTTCTTTTTTACGTTTTTTAATCTTCATTGATATTGCCAGTGACTTGAAATTTCTTTTCATTTTACCTCTTATTATGCCCAATATTTTGCCCATAATTTCTTTTCATCAAGCCTCTTATTTTTGCCCATAACACTGCTTTAAATTTTACTGTCCATTTGAACTATAATTCATATTAAAATACTTTAGAGAGTACAAAATATAAATTATGACTGATATGCAATTTATTTCAGGATTCTAAGGCTCATAACTTAGATAACTGGTTATAAACATGTTGTACTGATACAAACTGTAAGAAGCCTTAAAGTATCGAAAAAATGAGGGAAAGCTGTTATTTATGGAGGAATGTTTATTAATAAGTGTAAAGGGAATGATAAAGTTTAAAATTATCTATTTCCAATATCCAAATAAATAAATAAATAAATGGTTCAAGCAGGGTTTAACAGTGGAGTTTAAATCCATTAAATGAAACTTGGAGAAAAATATTCATGTGAGCAAAGAATAATTTCCACAAATTAGTTATAATGCCCAAAGGAAACAATGTACAAACAGAAAACACCAATGAATCTGGAGCATTAATGAACAGTGCCAGGAGTGGGACAATCATGTACTTCCAGGTTTACCGCTTGCCACCTATGCAAAAATGCACAACATGTTTCTAATCAATTGTTTGGAACCAATTTCCAGTTTTTGAACATACAGGAGTTAGGGCAACAAGACAAACTATACATACACATCAGACAAACCTAAACCACGGAATATTGTTTCAGAAAAGTGGCCCTATTTCTCTCTTAATACCTTTTTTTTTTTTTTCCAATTAACACGTGTCTTACAGGAAACTAAAGAACATCAAATATCCGAGAATAAGGTCAATTACTTTCTCAAATAGTTCACACTTTGATGAATGCTATATGTGTATATACATGACAGCCAATTTCACGTGGCAGATTGCGCAGTAGGCGTCATGCTCTTCACACATCATGACTATTGATTCGTAGTTAATCTTGTTGTGCCATAAACATAATGGCCTCCTTCCCCGAACTAACACAAATACAATGATGCTTACTGTTCAGAAAAGTGCACTGATCCTTTCCAAAAGAAAATACTGCACATGTATTTGAAGTGAAGCATATCAACAAGACATGCTATGTACCACTTTCACTGGTGACATTTTCTGTGTACTTCAAATAAGGACTAATATTTGTTCACTTTGTGGAAAGAAATGCTACATTAGTCTATACTATCTCTACATTAACATTTTTTACAAGTTGACATTAAAAAATAGGTGAGGGATTTTTTTTTTCCTACACAAAAGATATCAAAGAAATGTAACCATCAAATGCAATGAATGTACTTAGGCTTCTTATTTGGGAAAATAAACATAAAACCAGAAACAAAATAAGCAAAGCAATGCCTAAAATAATTTTAAGAAAACTGGGGAATTTGAAGATGGATTGGATAAAAGATAGGATTAAAACAGATAGAACAGGGCCCAGCGAGGTTGGCCTAGCGGCTAAAGTCCTTGCCCTGTATGTGCCAGAATCCCACATGGGAGCTGGTTCTAATCCCAGCAGCCCTGCTTCTCATCCAGTCCCTTGCTTGTGGCCTGGGAAAGTAGTCGAGGATGGCCCAAAGCCTTGGGATCCTGTACCCATGTGGGAGACCTGGAAAAAGCTTCTGGCTCCTGGCTTTGGATCAGCACAGCTCAGCCATTGCAGCTGCTTAGGAAGTGAATCAGAGTATGGAAGATCTTTCTCTCTGTCTCTCCTACTCTCTTTCTAATAAAAGAAAAACTAAGAAATTTTAAAAAAAGAATAGATAGGATAGCAAATGATTAATTTAAGATGGGTGACAATATAGATTGCAAAGAATTTCACCATTCTATGAAGATATACAATTTCAGTGAACCTGACAATGCAGAATATGAATATGTATAGGAAACATGACTTGCACAGGAAACAAGATTCCTGGGGCTGGTATGGTACAGTGGGTTATGCTGCCATTTGAGACACTGTCATCCTCATCTGAGTGTCAGTTCGAGTCCCAGCTGCTCTGCTTTTGAACCAGCTCCCTGCTAACATGCCTGGGAAGGTGGAAAGTGACACAAGTGCTTCAACCCCTGCAACCCACATGACAGACCCACGCAGAACTCTGGGCACCTGGTTTTGGCCTAGACCAGCTCCAGCTGTTGTGGCTTTCTGGGGAGTAAGTGAGAAGATGGAAGATCTTTTCCCCTTTCAAATACATATTTTAAAAAGAGATGCATTTTTATTTAATACCAATCTACAGATAAGTAACTCGAGAAATCTGGCAAGCACCACTTGTCAGACTTACAACAAATAAGCACGCACCCCTTTTGCTTGTGTGCTGGTTGTTGCCTAAATCCTTTCATAAAGATTCGAAGAATTCCACAGTTGAAGGGGTCGAGCTCTGGTGTCAAACCGACTGTCTTTGAATCCCCACTCTACCATTCACCAGCTGGGTGACACGGAGTAAGTTACTTATCCTCTCTGTGAATCATTTTCTCAAATCGTGAAATGACAGCAATTACAATGATGCCTACTTCATAGGTCCTGTGAGGGTTAAGGGAAACGACACCATCACAGTGCTTAGAACAGTGCCTGGTCTATGGGATACTTTGGTAGACAGTACTGTTACTAGGACCAACCCAGAAGGAAGCAGAAAACATCGACTCTACGTCAACCTTCACCACTGCCCAGCAGGTTCTGCAGTCTTCTGAGCCATTCTTTTCTTCTGAGTCTCTGAGTCCTCAATTAAAAGAAAGGCAGGGGAGGGAGAGCAAACGATCCCTCAAACCCCTTAGCTGTAAAACCTATGAGTTTGGGTCAGTGTTTGACCTAGAATATGATACACAGCGTACATTAAGGTCATATACGCTCAATTTCCATCTTCTGATAGGATTAAAGAATGTGAAGTGCTTGAGCATCTGTAGCAGCCCTGAAAAGCTTGTCTTTTTAAATGTTTCATTATCAGATACGTGAATAGGCTTATTTAAAAACTGAATTTATGTTTCAGCACCACATAATCATTGTGTCACATTTACAATATAAGTAATTTAATGTGCCGTATAATTCATCATAGTGATTCACATTTAATGTTTCAAATCTATCATGCCATTCGATTTCAAAAGCAAATTTAAGTGACAAGTCTTCAGAAAACAAGTGCAGTAGACGATGGCACTCATGGTGATGTACTTCACATGGAAAAGGGGAGGCTCTGCAGATGTAATGGGCATCACTAATCAGCTGACCTCAAGGGAGGGCTGGTATCTGAATGGACCTAGCCTAGCCTCAGAGACCTTGTATTCAATGCAGCCTGGCTGGTTTGGAGATGGAAGGACCACGTGGAGAGACTTGACAGCAGTTTCCAAATGCACTTATGTGGGATGATGGGCACCAAGAAAACAAGGTGCATAGGCCCACTCCTGCAAGGAGCCAGATTCTGGCAACAACCAGAATGACCCTGGAAGCAGTCCCTCTTCCCCACGCACTCCCTCAGAGCCTCCAGAGGAGACAAACCCAGTTGAGCAATGCTTTCATCTAAGTTTCTGGTGTTGTTTGTTTTATTTTAAAAATGAGGAGGCCTATTAAACATGCTGTTACGACCACAGGGGTATACCAACTGGAAATATAAAGAGCTTAGCCATGATTTATAAAATGTGTGACTGTTGTTGGACTACATGTTGCAATAATAGTGGGTGGGGGCAGGGAGAATGGGAAGTCCCTGAGCCTATGGAAATGTATCAGGAAAAATAAACATTAAAAAAAGAGGAAAAAAGTATATTTAGCAAACAGTACA